TCAGTCGGGTAAAGTTATAAAAATACGAAAGGAGAACAAATGCCAAAAAGATCTATTGTTGCACTAAAAAGTTGCAGATATTGTAAATTTAAATGTTCTACCAATATATCTGAGATTGAGCGTCAAATAATATTTGATAACTTTTGGACCTTAGATGATAACGGAAAAAAACATTTCTATTCTAAAACTACTGAAAATCTGGAGAAAAAACGCTGTCGGACAGCTGCTGGTGACAATTCAAGAAGAAAAACATCTTATTATTGTAGCTTTTTTGTTTCTAATACACAATATAGAGTTTGTAAATCATATTATCTTTCAACATTGAATATTAGCAGCCATAGAGTGTTTTACTTTCATAAGTTTAATAAATCTTTAACTACTGGAACACCATTGCAATCAAAATCAGGGAAACATGTTTAAAAAAGGTTACTAGAAGAGTCTAAACAAGTTGTACGAGACCATATTAACCTTTTCCCAAGAATTGATGCTCATTATAGCAGGAAAAAGACACATAAAGAATACATGGAAGGATCACTAAATATAGGTAGAATGTATGATCTTTATAAAATATATTGTGATGAAAATGTCTCTCCTCCAGCAAAAGAACATATGTATCGTTATATCTTTAATCACGAGTTCAATATAGAATTTCAAAAACCGAAGAAAGATTTATGTGACACATGCTATGAATATCGCAACATTGTTAATGCAGGCAATGAACAAACAGATAGTTATAATAAGCACATAAAATCAAGGAATGATACCAAAACTGAACGTGAAAATGATCGCCAAAATGTTGATTCTAAAACTGCAATTGTTTGTATTGACCTTGAAAATGTTTTAAATTTGCCTAGAGCTAATGTGGGAAACTTTTATTACAAACGAAAACTTTCAAATTATAACTTAACTGGTCATTGCTCGCTTAACAGGAAGGGTTATTGCATCCTTTAACACGAAGCCATGACTGGTCGTGGAGGAAATGATCTAGCCAGTGCTGTAATATGTTTGCTTTTGAAAATCATGGCTGACCTTGACATAAATAAGTTCATACTTTGGTTCGATTCATGTGTACCACAAAACCGCAATAGTTTCATGTCAGCAGCTTTGTGTGAATTTATAATACGATACCCACAAATAAAAGTAATTGAACAGAAGTTCTGCGAGCCAGGTCATTCCAGCATTCAAGAATGTGACAACATTCATAGTCAGATTGAAAAATCCCTCTCTGCTGCAGAAATATTTAGTCCACTTGGGCTAGAAAGAGCTATTAAAAATGTAAACCGTAAAAAACCTTTCTGTGTTTACCAAATGCAATTAGGAGATGTAAAGAATTTTTCAGTTGTCGCTGGTTTGTCAAGTTATAAGTTAGTGCCTTATTCAAAGGTTAAAAATCTTGTTTATCGAAACGGACTGCCATACCATGTTTTTTTTAAAACCTCGTTTTCAGATAATTATTCACAAGCTCGTATAAATAAGTCTGTCAAGAAAGCAGCATCAACCATTGTTGCAAAACCATTAAATACCAATATACCAATGGCAGCTTGCTTTCGTGCTTCTTATCAGTCTATATCTGTTGCAAAAGCCAATGATATCATTTCCATGTATTCATACATGCCTGCTGTTGATATTGCATTTTATAAAACAATAATAAATTGAACATTTACAAAACATTAATAAAGTCAAAATATTTTTAGGGTTGTTATATGTTTAGTATAAATATAAATAACATATATATATATAATAATATAAATAATATACATATAAATAACATATTTAAATAAAATATTTATTTAGTATAAATATAAATATAAAACACATTGAAATAATGTTATTTTGAAATCTTGATAAAAATTTTTGTTTAGCTTGTGTTTTTTTTGTTTGTTTTTTTGTACTTTTATATTCATTTTCCTCCACTTGTTTGGTTTGGATGGTTTTCCATAGTGACATAAAGGCCACTATGAAAGAGTTAAAGCAATGTTTCACAACCTGATGCCCTTCCTGACGTTAACTTGAGTAACAATTTTTTATTTGTAATTATTTGCAATAACTTTTAATAAAAAGTTAAACTCTATTAATGGATACACAGGCATAAGAAAAATAAAATCAAGTTCATCTTGCATGGAGTTTGTGATTAGATTAGTTGAATTGTTGTGAATTATCAGATAGTTACATAATGTTATTTCTTTTATTATTACATTTTTTTTAACATAACTCTTTCCTATATACCTTTCATAATTTATTTTATACGTTTATATTATATTAATACGTTTATATTATTATTACGCAGCCAAATTTTCCGTTTTAAATTAGACGTCTTAGTCTTGTCCAGGGCCGGCGCCTACAGGTAATTAAAGTAAATGTAAGTCGTAAGAACAGTGTCGTTAGAGGCTCTTCTAAAAGTTCTCCTAATTAGGGCCTCATTTTATTTAAAAAAACTTAATTTTTTAGGTAATACAAAAAGCGTCTTATATTTTGAAAAGGGTCCCGTTAAATTAGGGGCCCATGCCCCTAATTTAGGGGCCCATGCCCATAAATTAGGAGTGTATGGTACTGCGTAAGAATAATTAGCAGGTAGAACAAAATTTCATCAATTTCTAACATGTCGTTGTTGAAAAATGTACTTAATATGTTTAATATATATGATGTAACAACATAATATTTTTGAATTTTACTAAAAACCAAAGTTATTTTGTTCTATCTCCAAAAGAGGGTGCGAAAAAAAGGGCGTTAGCGTAATTTTAAAAAGTTTTTTTTATCTAAAAATTAATAATAAAACATTTTTAAATCTTAGGAAATACCTAAATTCTCAAAATATTTTTTCAATTTAGCTGCGAACAAATTCAAACTTTGACATCGATTTTGTCAGTTTGCAAAAACATGGAGATAGCACAAGATAATTCTAACGTCGCGATATGTTTCTATTTTTTTTCAGATATCAAGAAACTACAAACGACCAATCGTGATGCTAATCCAAGTAGATGAATAAATACAATAATTTTTTCAAAATGGTTTGATCATTTTGCGGAGTATGGACATCCAAGCAAGGATCATCCATTAATTTTATATCAATTGAAATAATATATAAAGCTAACGAAAATAATGTTTTACTGTTGACACTGCCATTCATTGCAGCCACAAACTCTTACCACATGAATAAATTTTGCCTATAGGTATGTTATATTATGAGTAGAATAGACAAAATAAAAAAATGCTCAGAAATTTTTTTCTAACTTATCCCATATCATCCCAACCCATGTCCCATTTCACCCCGACACGGATTGGCAAGGGAAAAATAGTGTCACATTAAAAAATCAATGAATTTAATGATTAAGTAATGAGTTTCAAAATAATTTACCTTGGCAATTTATCGGTCTATGAATTTATCCCTAACTTTATGGTTTGAATGAAAGATATAAAGCGCAGCACGCAAACAAATTATTTGTCCTACCTCACTCCACTTTCCTCTGCATTGTTAAACAAAATCTTGAGAAAAATTTTCAAAACTAATTTGTTTTGTATAAATGATACGCAAAACGTATAATTCAATATGTATAAATCAAGCAAAAATTGAAAAAAAAAAATTTTGGTAAAATTTAAGTTTGATAAAAAAAGAGCTACTTAGGACGATGACTTTTTCTTAAATGTGTTTTAAAGCTAAAGGTTTATTTGCTGAGACCACAAAAATTGTAAAGAATGCTCCTTAAGAATGATATTAACCTTTTAATCAGTCCTTTCTTCAACCAAAGTTTATAATTAAAAAAGATGTTAATTTTTTTCAATTGGAAAAAGATTCTTCAAACAGGTATAAGTAAGCGTGTTTGAAGTCATACTTATACTTGTTTGAAGTTTAAAAGGGAAAAAAGAGGAAATTTTCGTAAAGAAAAAGTTACTGCAAATGATGGTAATGTAGCAATAAATGGTACAAAAAAAATGTTGTCATAAATAAGTAAGCATAAAAAATATCTAATCTCTAATAACCACGCTTAATCAATGTCATGCTTTTATTGGATATATAAACATTAAACACTTTTGGACTATTTGGAATTATAACCTTATTTGAATAAAAATAAAACTAAAACAATTAAGAATTTTTTTCTAGAGAATGTAATTGGAATTTTGAGTTTTATTCTTCAAATTAACGCGGTAGAGCTTCTCGTACTTTAGAAAGCAATAGTTCTGAAATAAATGATAAGGTACTAATTGTTTTTGCTTTTTTTTTTTGAGAACGGTTTGGGTCTTGCTCCATTAAAAATAATTTCCAGGTAAATATGTATTCATTAATGATTCAAACAACGTTTAACGGTTTGAAAACGATTTGCAAAGTTTGCTTATTTACAAACTTCCCGAGAATAATTGATCGAAGCTGAAAATTGAGAACGTTTAAATTTGTCTGCTAAAAATAAATAATAATTGTTTACGAAACGCAAAAGTAACCAACGATGGTACATGGAGTTACTTGCGCTTCAATGGTGCTGTGGCACTGACTTTGAGGATTTATCAAAGTAGGAATAATAAAAAGAGCATTAAGGACAATTAAAGACCAAGTTGGATTGTACACTTGAAAGCCTCGACATGTTTGTTTCATACAGACAGCGCAGGTTTGATTGAAGTTTTAAAAATGAAAAGAATTACAACACACTAAACTTAACTTACAACACACTTTTTACTAAGACGATGGATATATTGAATAATTTAGTATGTTAAACTCCGATTTTTTATCAAGGTCACAAAATTATTTAAAAAAAAAGTGTTAAAGTTTTGTAAAATTATTAAAAGATATGTTGGTGCTTTATAAAACTGTTACGCTTTTAAAAATCTTTAATTTTTTAGTTTTAAACATAGGTTAGTATGCAACGTCAGTCATTATTAATTAGATATATAAAATAAAATACGCAGAATAGAATTTTATAGAGAAAAGAAACAGGCCATCATAAGCCAACCTGACCAAAAGACCGAAAACCAAAAAGTAGAAAAAATATATGGTACAATATATAACAACATTGACAAAAATCACAATTTTATTGTTATAAACATATGAAGTAAAACTTTATCGTACATAATTATAAAATTTTATTCTTAAGGAAAATCGAGAAAAGTTTTAATCTCACCATTTAAACTATAAAAAATAACAGGTATTGAAAGTTAAAAAGAGTTAGAAACGCCAAAAAAAATCGGCTATATGAATACAAAATGTGAAGTAAATTTACTAATACGATGGAGCTCCTTTTCGTTTTATTGGATACATTGGGATATCGGATTTATCAATGCTGCTTCGACGATCGTTTGGATTGTGAGGTGGTTGCGGCAGTGTATCATGAGCCCGGTCTTTTAATCTTAAAAGTACATCACTGTATAGGGAAATGTTCTTCTTTCTCAAAAGTTCCAGATATTCAATCTCGCGATAACACAATGAATTGAATAACTTTTTCAATTCACTGTTGCGACTATGTTGGCTATAAAAATCATTGGTTTACATAGTAAAATAAATTTTGTAAGTTATGTAATAAAATAACAAAAATAATTATTTTAATAAACTTAAGCGCTTGACTTACTTTATTCCAATGAACCCAATTGCATAACTAACAGCTGAAATAATTAAGCCAACAATTGACACAACCATTCCCAAGACCATTCCAAACCAAAGCACAACAAAGACGTACTGGTATAAGATGTGTGGTGAGATTTCACATAAAAGTTTGTGCTGATTTCCAAATGAAGCCTTTATATCTTTTGATGAAGAGTACAGCTCACAATATCCAAATGGAGGTAAAAGCTCATTACCTTAAAAAATTTATTCAATTAGTATTATAACAAACTATTTTTTTTATCAAATTTTTATAAAATATTAACTAATAACAAGAGAAAAACAATTTTTAAAAAACTCGATTTGATAGTTTTAAATTAATGCATTTTATACAACTTTCAATTACCTTAAAGAAGGCTTTCAAAACCTCCAAAAACTTTTTTAAAATAGTAACTATATAAAAATTCATTTAATTAAATATAGTACTTTCAAATTAATTTTTAATACAAACTATGAGCTATTGTTTATATTGCTTATTTTGGCTGCTATCTAAATGTCTAAAAATGTCACTGATGAGACAAACAATTATTACTTGGATTGACATCATCATAAATAAAATTTAAGAAAAAATATGAATATTATATAAAGGAAAACTTATAGTTAAATTCTTAAAGTTTTGAAAAACTTTATAAAACAATACTTTTTTTCTTCTACTTTGAACACAAAGTTTTTATTTTTTACTATTTTTAGAAATTTAATAAATAAAAATAGAGTAAACATTGGAAATTATTTTTTACCTGGTTTAGGGTGATCTCGTACACCCATGTAATCGTAAGCAACAGTATTGTTAAGCCTGGTCCAATCCAACCATTTTTTCCCATAACCTTTAAAGTCTCCGTGTAAAAGGCTATTGGTACCAAAAAATGCCAAAAAATTAATTACTACATATGCTAATTTGATTAGCAAATTAAATAATTGCCGAAGAGTCAAACGCAAAACTCCACTTGTTCGTGTATTAAGTTTGTAAGGAAAGAAGCGGTCAATAATCTTGTCTAAATTGTTTTCATTCTTAGTGATTTCTTCAGTTAATTCAATAAGATCACTGTTAACAGTTTTATAGAAAAAGTATGGAAAGTAATATAAAACTGCTAATGTTGCTAAGTAAAATGGCATCCATTGATACTAAAATATAAGTTGTTAATTTATTCTAAAGTAAAAATTTATAATAAACTAAATTTTTTTTTTAATCTTTAATTTAATATAAACCTGCAAGTAGAAAGTCTTTTTCATTGGAACACAGTCCACACCTGCTAATGTGCTTAACTTAGATTCAGTAGGACAAAGCACTTTATTGTTCATGAGTCCATCATAATCCATATCTTTTGGAATGCCATAATAAGAACTTTCATCTATGCGAGACCTCATTTCTTTGTAAACATACAAACCCTGAATCCAACATGTGCTGGATGCAAAAGGTTTAAAACCACCAGGATCTTGTTCTCCTACATTACATACATACATATATAGATGTGTGTGAGCCCATTTGCAAAACCCGCCAAGTCCAAGTAAATTGAACTTAACAAAAAATTAAACTACTCTTAGTTGTGCATTAAACAGAAATTTTTTTTTGTCCATTTTTAGGACAAAAAAAATTTCAATTGGTTCAATTGGTTTCAATTGGTTTGATATTTAAAGAGGTGATAGATTACAGGATATAGAATTTGGAAATTGAACTAACTCAACATTTTTATGACTTAATGTGTTTTGCAGATGCACTTCTCATATACTCTCAAAAATAAATAAGAAGTTTTTCATGATAATATAATATGGTAATAATCAAGCAACATGGTATAGTTAAAAATAAATTATGCATAACAAATCTAAAAAATTGTTGTTTGGATATTGACAAGGTGTTTGACACAATGCCACATAAAAATTTGCTGTCTCAGCTTATGGAATATTCATTCTTACAATTCATTGGATTGAACCCAATTTAAAAGAAATTGTACAGAAATCAGCAGTGGTATACCACTTACTGACTCATACCAGTTATATCAATTAATACTAATCTGAAAGTAGTTGATTATATAATAATAATAATAATAATAATAATAATAATAATAATAATAATAATAATAATAATAATAATATAATAATAATAGCAATAATAACAATAATAATAATGATGATGATGATGATGATGATGATGATGATGATGATGATGATGATGATGATGATGATGATGATGATGATGATGATGATGATGATGATGATGATGATGATGATGATGATAAAAATATAGTAAGGTCAAAGAATTTTATCAGTAAGGTATTTTAAAGGTATAGATTTAAATTTTATGTTTTAAACTTTAACTATTATTATAACAACGGTAAGAGTAGTAATAGAAAAAATAATCCCAACAATAATAATAACAACAATAAAAATATTATTAATATAATATCAAAAAGTAAACTTATAATTAACAAGTTAAAAGCAAGTAAACCTACCTGAAACAATGCAATGAACTTTATCTGCATACCAGTTCAATCCAGTAACTATAGTACAAGCCATTAAGAGCTTTACCATAAACATTCGGTTATATCGATCAGTAAGAGGATCATAGCGAGCCTTAAACTTGATCTTAAACAAATTCTTTAAATCTGATGCTACAAAAGCCATCTTCACTTATAAAAATCACTATTTAAAAAACAATTATAAAAAAAGCATTTAAAAAAATATAAACAAAGTAGTAGAAATAAATAAAGTAGAAGTAAAATACAAAATGTAGATATTTTTATCCAGAATAAAATGTATTATATGTTACAGTAAAAAATGTATTATATGTTACAGTAAAAAATGTATTATATGTTACAGTAAAAAATGTATTATATGTTACAGTAAAAAATGTATTATATGTTACAGTAAAAAATGTATTATATGTTACAGTAAAAAATGTATTATATGTTACAGTAAAAAATGTATTATATGTTACAGTAAAAAATGTATTATATGTTACAGTAAAAAATGTATTATATGTTACAGTAAAAAATGTATTATATGTTACAGTAAAAAATGTATTATATGTTACAGTAAAAAATGTATTATATGTTACAGTAAAAAATGTATTATATGTTACAGTAAAAAATGTATTATATGTTACAGTAAAAAATGTATTATATGTTACAGTAAAAAATGTATTATATGTTACAGTAAAAAATGTATTATATGTTACAGTAAAAAATGTATTATATGTTACAGTAAAAAATGTATTATATGTTACAGTAAAAAATGTATTATATGTTACAGTAAAAAATGTATTATATGTTACAGTAAAAAATGTATTATATGTTACAGTAAAAAGAAAAACATTTTTAAAAACTTTGAATCTGGACAATAAAATATCAAACCAGTGGCTTTACAAGGATACGTCAGATAACTAAAATGCGTTTAAATACTTACCTAAAACAATTTATTTTTTTTTTTAAATCGATTTGATCAAAGGAAATTCATGACTTTTGTATTTTCAGAGAACGTCAAAAACTTTTTTTGCCGACTATTTAACTGCTTCATAAAGAAAAAGCATTTAGTTGTTCTTATGAAATGTAAGCAAATGTAAAGCAAAGGTGTTAATTTGTATTACTATATAATAATTTAAATATTTTTTTTTGTTGTTAATTTATTTTTAACGCCAGTGATTCAGGTTATAAAATTGCTTAATGTTATCAATTTTATGTAATTAAATCAATTTTAATGTACTTAAAAAAATATCTCTAATTAAAAACATAATAAAAATTTTATTCATTTTGCTACAAGATAAAGTATTTTTATTTGACCAACAATCGTCGGCGTTTGTCAAATTTAAAATTTGACGCTTGCGTCATTATCTTTGATTGTTTATTGTGCATTAAGTCGTAAAACAAAATAAGGTCACAGAGATTAAACCTATTCAGCCTTAAGGATTAAAACTAATTGGTATACTATTGTCTCAATTTTTTTTTTTTTTTTTTATCATTTAATGTAAATGTTTTTGTTAAACAGAGACCTTCTTTTGTGTATGAGAACGTATTTAAGTTCTTGAAAATCAAGTATAACGTAGGGTTCGATTAAAAGTTTAGTATCAGAAAACTAAGACTTTATTCAACTCTCCTAGATTATAAAAAATCAAAATTAAATCATGAAATGTAAACAAATTCTTAGAACTCCGGAAACTAGGCTATAACTAAATAAAAGCAACTTGTAACAAGGAGCTCGGCGGCTTAAGCGCCGCTAATGTTAAAAATATAACTTAGTTTTTACAAAAATTAACTTTTAACGAAAAAATGGTTTTTAAAAACTACTTCTAAAAACATCCCTTCGCTTCTAACGGAAAAGAACTTCATTAAACTAACATAAAATAACTTTTATGTAAATGTAGTCAGTATATATTTTTACCTAAAAAAAAAAGTTTTATGTAAAAATGTAGCAAATATATATTATTTTAAAATATTCAATTGTTTAACTGTTTTGTGTGCAAATATTTGTTGTAAAATTGTTTAGCAAAAAAATCTTGAATAAAAAAAGAAAACTCGCTTTAAAAGCGCTGCAAAGTTTTCTTTTTCTTTTTTTCTTATTTTTAGGTTCATAAATAAATTTTATAATATTGTTTAATAAAACTTGGTTCACGACAAAAATCATTATGAATACTAATAAAATAATAATACTAATAAAATAATACTTAAAATTTTTTATAAACAATTAAATAATATTTAATATTACTTTAAATTTAATTTTTCATTAATGGAGAATGCTATTTGTAATTAAACGTTAATGTCATTAATGGAGAATGCTATAATGTAATTAAACATTAAAGGAGACATTAATGGACTTTGTAATTAAACATTAATAAAGAATGCTTTTTAACTTCCTTATTTTAAGTAATAATAAAAATTTTTTTAAATTTATAAGTTTGTTTATAAGTTTAAACTAATTAATACTTTAAAAATATTAAAGTTTAACTATATTAAAGATAACTATCATTATTAATATAAATATTAGAAAAAAAATTACAATTAAAACAATAATAAGAATTAAAATAATAATATACAAATATTCATTCAATCTATAGATAGGAGTATACATAAAACTAAATATGCAAATAAATATATTTTACAAATATATACAAATAAAAAATTACTAAATAAAACGCATATAAATATACATTTGCGTGAATTTTAACAAGATATAGGTTTATTTGAAAAAAAAATTTATATTTTAACTATCGTAATATAATAAATTAAAACAAAGCAATAATTCATTTATTTTAATGTTTTTATATTCTTTACTTAATAAAGAAACTATAAAATTATTAAATACTTAAACTATATAATTATTAAAATACCTTGCCTTTTTTTTATGATTGTTACTTTGAGTTTTAAAAAAATCGAATACGAACTGCGGTATTTTATCTCGTCAGTATTTAATTCAAAACGACGATAAAAGTGTTTGTTCAGTTGATGACACATTTTCGCTCTCCTTCTTGGTATGTTTTCCATTGTTATATTTTTTATTCGGAAGTTTTCTTTTGATAACTGTTATGATAGCAATTAACGGGCGCTTTACAAGTCACACTTGATGAAAATTTTCTATTCAGAGAATATTGCCAAAAACATGCTGAAAATCAGACGCCATTTTTTACTTCGAATAAGTAAAATTTAAATTTTGTTTTTCAAGCATTGAAAAAAAAAGTAGAATAATATTATATATATATATATATATATATATATATATATATATATATATATATATATATATATATATATATATATATATATATATATATATATATATATATATATATATATATATATATATATAATAGTTTATATATATATAATAATTTATACATATATATATATATAAATTATATATATATATATATAATATATATATATATATATATATATATATATATATATATATATATAATAATTTATATATATATATAATAATTTATACATATATATATATATATATATATATAAATTATATATATATATATAATATATATATATATATATATATATAATAATTTATACATATATATATATATAAATTATATATATAATATATATATATATATATATATATATATATATATATATATATATATATATATATATATGTATATATATATATATATATATATATATATATATATATATATATATATATATATATATATATATATAATAATTTATACATATATATATATATATATATAAATTATATATATAATATATATATATATATATATATATATATATATATATATATATATATATATATATATATATATATATATATATATATATATATATATACATGGCCGTAGACAACTTATTTAATCTGGTGGGGCTATGAAGAGTAGGGGATATAGGTAAATATAAAATAAGGCGCATATAAGATGCCTCTTATTCCTATACTGTATGTATTACACTAACTTGTTTTAAAATGTGATTCCTCGTAGGTTTTTGAGGTAATTTGTTATTTAAAAATGTTTTTAATGATATGAATTAAAAGTCGACCTTAAATATAAAATTTTCGAATGCGTACGCGATTCAGAAATTAAAATGTAGATCAGAAACGGTAATCAAATTTTGGCTATTTTTACAAACTTCAAGTTTTTTAAAGTATAAGACTTTTATGAAACATTATAGCAGTTTCAAGATTTTATTTTAAGATTTTTTGTGTGTGTATATTTAGCAGCATACACCAGTATAACATTGCTTGGTTTATGATGCTTTTTAACCAAGTTTTGATTCTTCGTAGTTCGCTGAAAGTTCTCTCGCTATTAGCGTTTGTTGCTGATATCAGAAGGATATGTTTTATAAACTTCCTGATTTCTGATAATAATTCCATTTCAAATTCTTTTGCTTCACTGTAAAACACACAAATTTATGTCTTACCACGCATACAAATTTATGTCTTACCACGCATACAAATTTATGTATTACCATACAAAGACGCATTGTAGTGCATAAGTTAGTCAATTTGAGATACACTGCAGTCGTAATTATTAAATAAATAACAATAAGGTTTATAGGAAATTCATTTATATCTTACCTGACTAAATTATGACTTTTTGTAGAGTGTGTTTTTTTTTGTAGATTGACTTTTTGTCTAATGGTTCAGTTGTGGGTTCATCCATAACTTGCAATTGAAGCATTCAAATCTGTAGCATAGAAAGCAAGACCTTCTTTATTTATTGAACTACCTTCAGATGAAACATTTATAAGTACTGATTTTATCTTTTGAAGCATTAAATACCCTTCTTGTTCAAAACTAGATTGAATACTGCCAATTGTAATTTCTATAGCTTCGAAATATATCTTTATAAAAAAGTTAAACCTAGAATTTTTTAAATAATACTGATACAGATGCTCCTATTTCAAAACAACGAGGTACTTTGCGGTGGCGCGGCAAAGCAGGTTTTTCTAGTTGAAGCAATTTTCTTTTGATTTCAAAACGGTTCTAAAATAGCTCAAATAAATTTTCAGACTGGATAAATTTCAATGTAATCAAAATTCTTTCAACAACTTTCTGGTATTTACTTGCCCAAATGTGTAACTATTTGCGAACTTTTTATAAATTGTCTGCCACGCATAGAAAAGTCTCGCTAAATTCAATTCCAAACAAGAAGCTACGATATCACTGCCTTTTGTCTCAGATTTAGCTTCTTTCCAAGCAATTTGTAGAGCGTAATAGTTATCATCCAGTGGGCACACGACCTTATTTCGACGTTGATTTACAGTTGATTTTTAGTCGCGACGTCGTATAACCTAAAATCAACGTTGTATCCACGTTGAAAAATTTGTTTAAAACTATCAAATAACATCGACGTTGATTCCGCGTTGATTCAACAAATAACGGGTAGGTACAATCGGCAGAGCAGAGCAGATTGGCAGAGCAGATCATTGAAATGTTAATAACGGCAGAGCAGAATATTCAATCAGCCGTTACCTAATGTGTGATCTGCCAAATAATTCGGCAGATCATTTAATAGAATTTTTATAATGTGATTGCCAAATATTTTTATGAAAAACGATGCACACTGAATAGAAAGAACTATGAGTTGACTTTTTAAACATAAACGTTTTTTGTTGTCGCAAAAATAAAGTGATATGCCGTATTCTAATGGGTGATCTGCCGAATATTTCGGCAGATCATAATGCAACCGGCAGAGCAGATTGGCAGAGCAGATCATTGTAATAATAATAACGGCAGAGCAGATTATCACAGACACACAGACAATCAGCCGTTTTTTATTTTGTGATCTGCAAAGTTACATTTTAATAACGCGTGATCTGCCAAATAATATTTGAATAATGTGTGATCTGTCAAATAATATTTGTCAGATCACACATTCGAAAACGGCTGATTAGATAATCTGCTCTGCCGCTATCAACATTACAATGATCTGCTCTGCCAATCTGCTCTGCTCTGCCGATTGTACCTACCCACAAATAACAAGTAAAGACTTAAAAAGTTACTTATTAGCCCAATAAAAACAAGTAAAGTCACACATGCTAATAAATTAGGCCATCTGTTGCTTTTTTATAAGGTTTTGAATTTAACAATAAAAAAAATTAAAAAAAAAAAATTATTCCTTAACTGTTCAAATTAAAGCAACTCTTCTTATATATATATATATATATATATATATATATATATATATATATATATATATATATATATATATATATATATATATATATATATATATATATATATATATATATATATATATATATATATATATATATATATATATATATATATATATATATATAAGAAGAGTTGCTTTAATTTGAACAGTTAAGGAATAATTATTTATTAACCTAAGATGGCTTTTTACTAACTAATGGAAAGTTTTATTGTGTTGAATTTGTGAATGAAAATGGATGATGTTTTACAAAATAATGATTTATCAAGCTTTTTTACCAATCCATGTGATTTAAAGAGTTTGAATATTTTTTATATTAAAAATTTTTATAAAATTTTTAAAGATTTTTCTTGTAAAGTTGTATAAAAAAGAATTTGTGCTTGCTTCTTTAGTCTATGATATTGGATGGTAGAAGGATCAACATAAAAATTAAGCAAATTTTAGCAACTGTATAATGTATCATAACGCACAGTTTAAAGTTGTATTTTTCTGTTAGCTATTTTACATGAACAAATTTTTAATATATGAGTATTTTTTCTATTATATTTTCTACTATACTTTTCCAGTTGAAAAAGTATATTAGGGCAAGCAAAATGTTCATTCGAGCTGTTTGGATAGAAAATACAGAGAAATAAAGAGAAAAAATTCTATTGATAATTTTTTGTGCTGGCCATTGTCATTAAATGTAATAAATTGTTTCAATGAAATGCATAAACCGCATCTAACTAATACAGATTTACGCTGCTCAAAATTAAATGTCATGGAGATAATGTTTTTTTTTTAAATTTAAACCTTAAGTCATTACTTTTTTTCCTTGTTTTTTTAACATGCTTTCATTCTGTATATGTTGTTTTCAGTGTTTAGATATATTCTTTATTATATATTCTTTATTATATAATGTATATAAAACATTTTTAAATTGAATGAATATTCTTAGATCATGAGTTATGTGATAAATTTGAATTTGCCACTACTAGTGATACTCAGATAGAATGAGATTCAGAAAACGGTAACTATTTTAAAAGATACTTAATTCAAGTATTATTAGTTTTATTTTGATATTAATTTTTATAGGAGCCACTACCATGCTTATGCAAGAGAAAACATAATAACCAACTGAATAGTCAGCAAGTACCTACTCCTGTAACGCAAAAAAAAAAAACAGAAAACATTTTTTATGCATACTCCACATACTGTAGCTCAAGGTATTAATTGTCTGTCTGCAAGTTGATTTAGGAAGAAAAGATTCTGAACATTTTTTTCTATGCTTCAGTGATTTACACATTTTATTGGTTGCTAAATTAATACATTTTATTTAATTTATGAATAATGTTTTATTTTATAAATGTTTTGTTCTTGTGTTTCAACGCTTTTAGAAATTAATTAATGTTTGGTTCTTTTGTCTTTCTGATATATCTTTATTGTTAGAAAGAGATGTTAGTAAAAACTCTTTCCAGTAATTAAAGTAATATCATGACAAATAGTTCTGAAATTCTATGGATGAACTTGCAGCAGTAATTTAATGATTATGATAACAGTTTAAATGATTCTTGGGTGAGGTCAGAAGTGATGGGTTGTTTCAAACCATGCCTTTTCGCAGTTTTTTTGTTGTTTTTTGAAAAAGTATTTATTAATAACTTAGACTAAGTTAATCTACTTGTACCTTTTTATAAATGTACTATAAAAGTAATGTAGTGTAATTGTTTTCTTAAACCTTTAGGTTAACAAACTTTCTAAAATTGGAGGTAAAACCATTAAGACAAATACAAAAAAATGTGATGCTAAGGTTTGTTAAAAGTAGTTTTAAATAAAAAAT